AAAAAAAAGAAATTATAAATTATCCTAGAAGAGATATTTATATAAGGTTTTAAAACTTATAACTTTATAATTCTATTTTATACTAATATACTTTATTTTTATTATTTATACTAATTAATTTATTATAAATAAAAATTTAAATTAATAGTAAGTAAGATTTTATAAGTAGTATAATTATCTTACTAATATAAAATAAATATTAATTATACTTAGTATAAAATTATAAGTAATTATAAGAGCTTATAATTACTTATAATTCTATACTAAGTATAAGTAAGTACCTACTATTATTTATAAGCTTTTTTTTTTAAGTAATATTATAAATACTTATAAGCTTTAGTAATCCCTATGAGCAGGTATATATATATATATTGATTGCATAGCAGAAGGCTACAGAACTACCACACTTGAATGCAATACACTGGGAGTGTCCAGTTCTCCAATTCCTCTAGGGGTATTCGGTTCTCAGACGCCCAATAGTGCTGACCATACCATCACCGGATCCCCATCCCGCCCAGGCAACTGTCCCAGAGCCGAAGGTTACTGACAAAGTTCCCCAGATGTAAGGGCTACCATTTACATTCTGCCAATGAGGACCACCTGACTGACCACCCATGGTATCGGTGTCAGTGTAGAAAGGTCCAGTGGAATCGCAATCCCACGCACGGAAGGACTGGACTGTATTTCCATTCGTACGATAGGGCCTGTTACCGCTGTCGCGGTCACCAGGATACCCGATGTGGTTGAAGATAGGTTGATCGACGAGTGAAGCGTCAGGATACTTGGCACCAAAGTATCCGCGCTCATCACCCAATCGTCGGTCTATAATGAGAATAGCCCAATCTCCCTTCCAGCCACAGGGTGTACCCCACTCAATGTCGGTGGTGACAGCCACAGTAACAACTCCCTCGCCGAAACGGGCTCCGTTATCGAAGCCTGGGGCAAAGTAGCCGGTGGCACCAGAAGTAAGGCAATGCTTGGCAGTCAGGACATGACGAGGTCCGACCAGAGCGCCGGAGCACCAAACGCCATTACTCCAGTATAGCTTGCCTGTGGCAGCCCAGGGGTAACTTGTATCGCTATATAGGTAGCGGTCATCAGCACCATTGATGTAGCGCTTGTTGACGTCTATGCTAGCTGAACCCTCGGGAATGAGAGGTTCAATGTCAGAGAGCGTTGCATTTTGGGCAATGTCCTCGGCGGTCAAGTAAGTGATTTCTGGAATGATATCATCCGCTAAGAGGGGACGGACGAAGGAAGGGTCATATCCCAGCAGGTTGCTGATCTTGACTTCTGGGGCCACAGGGGTAGCAGCAGCCTTGGAGAGAAGCAAAGCAGTAACTACCGAAGAAAGGAGCCCGGTCATGATTAAGACAGTATGCAAGCAAGATAACAGGCAACTTGGTTCGGCTTGTTTGTAAATCTTCTCTTTGAGGCAGTTCACGGAGCCCAAGATATCCAAGGGCAAATTGGTCCTTTATATCGTTTTTCTACAGCTCCAAGTACACTGATATTTCACAGCTTACTTCTTATTGTAACGTCTCGGCACATTGAGTGATATTTCACGGTTCAACAGAGACTTGCGGCCATGCCTTGCACTATGGAACCGCAAGTAAAGTGGTATGCAGAGTTGGAAAAGAAGAAGGTGGTATGAATCGACAGGTGTCAGCACTAGTATAGTTCAGAGAGAAATCCAGTCATATGGTACGATCCCCAGTGTGTGGAGGACGGACTTTGGTTCCCCAAGATCCCAAGATATTGGATATTTCCACATGCTGCTCCCCTGGCTTTACGCGGTGTTGCATCAACGAAACCAAGAGTCAGCAGGGTACGAGCAGTTTATCATAGTCTCGGGCTTATACATTACTCAGCCTTATCTTCCTCACCAAGGTGAGAGTCATCAGGTCTGCCTATCCCGGTCTCCAGCCCTGTAGATATTGATGAGAGAGAGAGTCTTATGCCTATTTGAGGACTGGCACGCAATACCATCCGGTAACATCGGTAGATTTGGGAACTCCATAAGATGTGGACGGGCGTGGTCACGTCGCATCATAAGACCGAAGTTGACAGTTCCCAACTTCCTCTTTGGAGAAAGGCGTGTCAACGTTGCGCTTATCCCCCCCGACGTTTTTGATGGGCCAATCCTACCCCAAGGCTGTAAGTTAGCGGCGCAAGAGCGTCAGATGGGACGAATAGGTAAGGGTCAGATACTACCCTCCAACTGAATCACTACACATGGCATCAGTAAAGCGGCATATTCGGGGAAACAAGCTATCTGTATCGAATAACCCTTGACTTCCATTCTCATTATTACCTGCTTTCACTATTTTCAGAGCTACGAGCTTCATGCCTCAGAGTTTATGGATCTCTTTCTACGGGCGCATAGGCAAGGGAAGGGCGGCATTATGCATGGGGATTTCTAGACGATTGGATGTCAAGGTTCATGTTCTGTTTCGCGAATTCTGGATGTTTTCCGGCCAGGGATAATTTGACGGAACCTAGTTAAAAGCAAAACCTCTACTTTAAAAAAACAAACGTAACGATCTGTCCACGCTTCCGGCTTAACAACCGTCCCAGGCTGGGAAATCTTCTTCTTGCGTCAAGCGGAGTTTTTCATCTTTGTGTATCTCCGCGATTTCCCAGCTGCACTCTTGTCGCGATCCTCTTGGGCCAGCCCTAAGATTCGCCATCGTGAATTTGTGCTGGCGACGGCGCCTTGACGAAATCACCACCGTTCGCAAGTTTTTCTTCCCTGCATGGAGGATAGCGTCCATGCAGGGTTTCTCGAACTCCCCGTCGCCCGTCTGGCTTATTTCATCCAAATTGATATGGATCGTCTCCAGCGAGTCCGGCAGCAGGACGGGGGAAAGTTCATCCCCATCGGGGGATGGCATCAGCTGCTCAAGAGAGTTAGCAAAACGCCTCATGATTTTGCCGTCGAATGAAAATGACCTGAGCTCTTTGAAGCCCAGGAGTGGAAGGACCTTGAATTGCTTCAGGCTGCTGAGCCCAGCCTGTATAAGCTCTGAGTCGAGAACCATGCACCTGTTTGCCGATATTTTCAGTTCCTGGAGAGTGGCGGAACAGGCCTTCAGGGCCTCGAAAAGTCTATGGGGGGGCTCACCGCCGGTGAAGCTAATGCCGTAATACTCACACGACAATCGACGAAGGCTTGGGAGCTGTTCCATGGCTGCTGCAAGATGTGGTGCGGGCTCCTCCTGGATGCAAAGTTTCAGATCTTGAAGCTGCGGGAGAAGAGGAGCATCCTGTAGATCGGTTGCCGTGCAAGCTAGGCTCCGAAGCGACTGTGCAGCCTGACTAATTAGAAACCTAGCGGCCTTGTTCTCGATGTATTGGTGAGGCATGTACCCACGTAATCTTCTGTGACAGCTGCACTTTGGTATTGTCGGGAGGATGAAATTGAGACGTTGTGTTAGAAACAGCGTTGCACTATGATCTCCGAGGGCCTTCCAAACAGTGAATAACTCGTCTTGCCAGGGACTTTGAGGACGAACAGCGAGTTTCAGTTCGGGAGATGTCCGTAGAGAGATGAATATCAATTGCATCAGCGTTTCCACAAGATTGGTATTTTCGAGCTGGACGTTGGAGAGCGGGATTCGAAGGCCGTGCGAGAGAGTCCTCAGATCGTTGAGAAGCGATTCCGGCAGGGGTGGATTGTCGTAAGACTGACGAACATGGCAGTGGCCGGGTCCTGCCCAGGGCGCGTCTTGGATGCTCAGTGACTTAACATGGTTCTTCAGGGAGGGATTGATCCTAAGGCTGGTGAGAAAACCGATTGTGACTTCAAGGGGCTTTTGAAGGTTATGGTGGGGGATCTGGATGTCGACATTGTGGTAGAGAATTCGTTGTGCGCTGTGATGAAATTTTGCGACTCTACAAAGGTTTAGTAATGTTGCCTTTCCTCGATGTGTGAGATGTTCAGGCGCATCTTCCTCGCCAAGTGACGGCGGCTCACAGTGTTTGCAGAAGAACGTGCAGACTCGGTGGATCACCAGATCGGGAAGATGGATGATTCCTGCTTCGGTCTTTGTTGGATCTCTGTCGAGTGCCATGGTTTGAAGTTGACTGGTCCAGCAGCCAAGGACGACAAGTTGAGAAACTGAAGAACGCTGGATACGAATGTATGAGGCGAAAAAAAAAAAAGATGAGACTGGTCCAGCAGCCAAAGAAGATGAGTGAGGAGCGGAAGAATGTGGGATTCGAATCTGCGATGTGAAAGATTAAGATGAGGAGAGGTGATGAAGAGAGGAAAGGATTTTATACCGTCTACCTACTCACCAACTTGAGATTGCGAGAACGAGCAACACATTGTCAAGAACGTTGAATGCACTTTTCCAGCTTCACTGCATCTTCCAATCTATTGCCAACAAAAAACAACAAGCATATTGCCTAACTATTGAATCTAATTTGCGATTGTCAGGGCAATCTTCAATGGTGGGTTGAGCAATGATGAGTTGAACAATGGTGATTTCAGATACTTCTCAGATTATCAGCCCACCACGCTGCATTAGCATTGAGGAAAAAGTGGACAATGAGGAAAGGCGTATTATTCAATTACTTAAAAATGCCGTTTTCCACACCTAGTTGGTTCAAATAAAAGCAGGTTCAATGAGTGTGGGCAAGACAAGCAGCGCTTCTTCATGCAGGCTGTCGACATGCCAAGACGATCGTGAGCTGAATATGGTCTATCAGAAAAGCGATCGCCATTACATACCTAGCCGCGATTGATCGATTGTCCAGGCTACCCAAACCCAGAAGATCAGGCCTAATCAATTAAGACCTAGAGTGAGCAAAGAGTTTTGGAGAAACTGCCCTAGAGCGCTTGTGATAATTCGAGAATCTGTTGCGCCAATAGGCTTAGATATGATATACACCTTCTAATGCAATCTTATTATGCTATTTTATTCTAAAAAGAAAGTCTAGAATAACTCGCCTCTATCGATGTCTACATGAAACAGAATAAAAGGAAACCCTCGCGGAACTCATGCAGCCTAGGTATGCTTCTCATTGACGAGAACATATCTGAACCTTGGCTTTCCGGCCTGGACGTCGAGGACGGCTTGGTTGGCATCCTTCAACGGGCGCTTTTCTACCCAAGGCTTGACGCCCTTCTCAGCAGCAAGCTCCAGCATCTCTCTGATATCGTCAGGTGAGCCAATGCCGCTGCCGCCAATCTTGATTTCATTGCCCAGCAAGATGAAAACATTAATCGGGGGAAGGTTTCCTTTGTCAGGGGCACTATTTCGCATCCATGTTAGAAAGAAGGACGTTCATAGTTAGAAGGATGGAACTGGTCACTTACCCAACTTGAATGAGGCTGCCGCCCACCTTAAGCAGCTTAAGATAGTCACTCATTGGCATCTTTTCGCTGGAAACTGTGCTAATGATGAGATCCAGGGTTCGTCGACCCTTTGTAGCCCAGTCCTGGTCGTCGTCGGTAGCGATATACTCGTCTGCGCCCAACTGCAGGACCTCATCGCGCTTCTCAGCCTTTCGGGAGATACCGACAACACGGTCAGCGCCCAGCGCCTTGGCGAACAAGACTCCGAAATGCCCCAGACCGCCTACACCAACAATACCGACAGTCTTGCCAGGTCCACAGCCGTTAACCTTAAGAGGTCTGTATACGGTTACACCACCGCAGAGCATGGGCGCAGCATCTTCTGATGCCAGGCCCTCGGGAATCTTGATCACGAAATGGCCATTTGTACGGTTGTAGTCGGCATAGCCACCATATGACTTGCCCTGGTCATCGGCATAAACGCTGCCGTATGTGTTGGCCTGTAGAAAAGAAAATCTGTTAGTCGACAAAAGCAGAATGAAGGGGGGCTTCAGCAGTTCTAATCACCTTCTGAGGGCGACCGCAGTAGTTCTCGAGTCCAGCTGAGCACTCGGGGCAATCGTCCTTCTGACAGCTCATGGCTTGAGCGCCGACACCGACACGGTCGCCAACAGCGATGTTCTTGACATTCTTGCCGACGCGGACGGCCTTTCCTACAATCTCATGGCCAACGCAGCAGGCTATTCAATTGGTTAGCATCTAATGGATCCTGAAGGGGCTCGCTCGCAGTAGCTGGGGATGACATACGGAAAGGGGTAGCACCCCAACCAGCCGAGAGAGTGTGCAGGTCCGAGCCGCAAATACCGCAATGGGTGATTTGGATGTCGACGTCGTCCTCTGTCCACTTCTTGGGCTCAAACTCTCCCCACTTCATGTTTCCGTTGACGCTGTCGGCATCGTGACCGAGCCAGCCCTCGAACTTGTAATCGGTAGACGCCATGTCGAAATTTTCACTAAAGTTGTTCTGAGTGAAGGATATTGGGGAGCAGACTGCGAGCTGTATGGGTATTGTCTTTGTTACGAGAACAGGTCAATCAGAGTCCTATGGGAAGGATGGCCATCCTTTATATAGTTTTGGTGAGTGATAAACCATCCCTTCCTAAACACGAGATGCCACACCGCGGTGGATTCGAAGAACAGCGGAATGACGGTTCGATGGTGGGGTTTCGATCCTAGCCATGACGACAGAAACGTATGGAACCTCTCGCGATCCGAGCGATCAGAGGCTGCGCTATTGCCCGGGGCCATCGATTGTATGACCTTCACCATGATTCCGGTTAGGCTGACCCGTTTGCTAGACACCCCCAGCGGCGATAAGGTGCTTAGGTGGACCGTACAGCATGTCATTTTTGGAGACTGGAAGGGCTCAAGGGCCAATGGAGCGGCCTGTAAGATGGATATCATGGAGTTAGCGCAGGATCGAAGCCTTAGAATCCGAAACTCCGTGTGAAAAATTAGCACGACGGAGATTGTGTCTTCTAACTGCGTCAAGACCGCTCCCAAGGCCGCCCTTTCAGACTATTCTTCTTCCATAATATGGCCGAGTCCTACACCACCATCTCGCCATTCTTCTAATTCTCGATGACAAACTATGAATCATAAGGCCTTGCTCCAGTCATGAGCGGTAAGCGACATCACGACGGCCCACGACGGGTCAATATCAAGCCGGGTGAAATCAAACGAGTCAAGCATTCTTCATCATATGTATCGGATCAATCGGCTACTCATATCGAGCGTCATTAAATCCAGTTTCACCTAGCAAAAGAAGACTGCAACGTCTCTTCCTTATTCCCGAATCTGGACACAGCTATTAATAATTACCTATACCTCAACGGATGAGAGAGTTCGATTACAAAGTAAAAAACAGCAATGAAGATGCGAGACCCGACATTTCAACACAATGAATAATTTCACCTCAACAGAAACGATCAAACCGAAGGGTGTCGCAAAATCGGAGCAATTTTTCGTTGCCTCCTAAATCCTCTCCCCTACAAGAGCTGTATTATAACCACTCCGACGCCGCTTAACCTCACCGTATCCATGACAGATCAAGTGATTCTCAGGGGCTTCCTTGTGGCTCTCAAAACATAGGCACCCATTTCGCCAAAGTATGGTGCCCCTTGCTCATTACTCAGGGCTGATTGATGATGATAATGGTGATATGTTTAACACCGGATAAAGCCCGCGCAGGGCAAAAGGCGTCTGTTGGCGACTGGGCATATATGCACATGCTTCTCTTTACCGACGGAAAAGGAAAGAGGATCAGACAGAGAGTGTTCGTGGTTTCAAGAGCGAGTAGCTCAGATGACCCCGCTTAAGGCTGATTATAAATGCTCTGAAGCCAACCCAGGCCGTTTTCTTTATGACGCGGATATGAGGCTCGCTTCCATTTTCTATGCCTTCGTGCATCTCCTTCCATGGGACTTCAAATCCGACTATTTGGCGGCATCTCAAAGATGTATTCAGCCACCAACTCCGAGGCTTCTTTCGCGGCGCCAAAGCTATAGCAATATCGTCCTGCCTCTTGGCGATATGCGTGATTGAAAAGCATTCCTATTTATAAGACTCACGTGGTCACCCTAACTTCTCCGCCTGGCTGGAGCCGAACCACCGTCTACTGAAACCTGGCCTGGCCATGACTTTCCTCTTCTAGAGTTATAGCGATTCGTGGGAGCCAAGCATCAGCAACCTACAGCTTGCTGTCTCCGCGAGGCAGAACCTAATCCGCCATCCTCTCTCATAGGTGGTCGGCTACTAATAGTAGTCGCCATGTTACAGCGATTGAGCTTGTAGATTCTGCAGTCCCAATGACAGGTAGCGCAGGGGCCCTCTCAAAGGCCACCATCTAACATCAAAAGATCATGATTTCCCTCAAATAGATCCTAATTTCTATCTCCAAGGCCTGTTTCCCTGCCTCTAACATATCTTCCCCATGCAATTATTCATGCCATTTCCCAAAATGGTCTCAATAACAGCCAAAGACTATGAGGACGTTGGCGGGAATACTAGAGAGCAACACAACGATGGCCGAGATGAAGGGCCATATGCCCGTGAGTGGCGGGGTCATTTGTCTCGCGCCTTCAGGCTTGTGGCCAGGGTAAATGTCTTCCTCTACGAGGCGCATGGGGGAGGGGTCCAAACCCATGACGCGATACTGGCAGTCGCCTCTTCCGCGAAAGACTATTGCGGTCGCTAAAATACAATGCCAGAAAAGGCCGCTTGATTAGCACAGAAGGGTCCCAGTAGCGAGCCCTAACCACAAGAATCTGGCGCTCGTCTACTAGCACGGAAGCATCTGCCGGTTATGATTCATGAAAACACGCGTGTAGAAGAGTTTACGTCATCAATCAATCAACAATCGCGTCTACCTCGGCCCAGCGAATGCTCCTAGTGATTGGTCAGTATTCTCCATGCGCCACAGTCCCCCGCCACTCTGCACATGTGCCCCCAGCTCCTTGAGGCACTGCGAACCTTCACCTACCCTAAAGCTCTCACCTCGTCCAGGCAATGCAGGTAGACATGTATATAAAGAGAAGAAAACTACCAATGAGACATTGAGAGAGCCTATAGAATGTATTTTATGACTCCTATATATCGTAATATAAGTATCCAAGCGTAGCTGGTATGATAACACGATTTGGATGAATTCAAGCTGCGACCCAATATGCTGGCCGTACAAATTCCATGAGTATTCGAATTAGCCCACTCACAAATGACGTCTTAAAAAGCAAAAGACTTTATATTAAAGCCCTTCGCTCCTTAGATTCTAAGATTGCCCCCACAACATTAAGAAGTACTGGGTTAAAGAACATGTCTGCAAAGGTCGTAGGTACTTCCAATAAAGCGCGTCAGGCCTCAGGAGGACAGGTTGGATTATTAATACAAATCAACCGGGATGATGGGGTAAAAATCCAAATAAGGTAATTACCCCAGAGTTAGGAACAACATCGCGGTTAGCAAAAAGACGCGAATAATCAGAAAGAAGCCATACCATCTGATAGGCTGGACACAGTGTGTATGCGGAATGTTATGTTACTGATTCTGCCGTGGAAAACCTAGTTTGATCAACCCGAGAACCTCGACTGGCTGAACCAACCTCAGAAGGCATTTATCGTACCCCTCGGTCATTGTAGGCGTCCTAGACTGCTGAGAGGCTAATCGGACTTGGGGTAATTTCTTGATCAGAACATGAGATTCCGGGGTAGAAAATAGGAAATCTAGTGAGGTATGGTGCAAGCCTTGCACATGCAGTGTCTACTAAGGCTGGAGACTGGGATTTTTGGGGTTTAGGAAATGAACTATGGCAGGGAAGTGAATGAAGTGCAGTCTGGTAGCTTTTCTGATCATAGCTGGGAGTATCTTAACAGATTACAAATCTATCACAATCAGCCCGTTCAAGTACCAGAGTACTTACCCCATGTAGTATTGCCCCGTTTGGGAAGTGGGCAATAGAGGCTGGTAGCAATCTTTCAAAACCAAAACATATCTGATGGAAAGCCGCTACCACATTGATGATTCCAACTTCTACAGACTACCAGCGTGGAAGTTTCACTCATTTTAGATATAACGGAAGACAGTTATCTCATTTGCAGAAATGGCTTCCATCTCTGAGGATAACTACACCAGCTTCCGAAGCGTCGCCGTTGATGATCTGCCGTTCTTCACTCCTCGACAGCGAGTTCCCGTTGGCACGGCAATCCTCAAAGAAGGGCAAACGAAAGAGGACGTCACGCCAGCGTTTCGTCCTATTACAATCCGGGGGAAAACATTCCAGAACCGCATATGGGTAGCACCCATGTGCATGTATAGCTGTGAGGATGGTATGTTTAGCGATTTCCATGTTATGCACTATGGCCAGTGGGCTATGAGAGGTAGCGCTCTTATCACCATTGAAGCAACCGCAGTCACTTCGAGAGTATGTGATCCATCTGACCTTTATTTCTTCTTCCATAAGATTAGGGAGCTTCCCGTTAATAAATTCCCGGACACATCGGTGAAGCCCCTCATCGTTCCATGTCAACAGGCTAATCAAGCGACACGTAGGGAAGAAACACTCCTCAGGATGCTGGGCTATACTCTGATAGCCAAGTTGCTCCGCTGAAAAGAGTGGTTGATCTTATACACTCTCAATCTCAGAAAGCCGCTATCCAGCTTCAACATGCTGGCCGTAAGTGCAGTGTTTGCCCCCCTTGGCTTGGCCTTAAGCTTGTCCCTGAAGAGTTTGGGGGCTATTCCAAGGACGTTCAGGGTCCAACGGCGGAGCCTTGGAATGAGAACTACGCTACTCCCATCCAAATGACTGAGGAGGAAATCCTGGAAACTATCGAAGCTTATGGACAGGCTGCTAGAAGGGCTATCGAAGCTGGAATTGATGTTATCACAATTCACGGAGCCCATGGATATCTCGTGCATTCGTTTGCATCTCCTGCTGTGAGTTGATTATACAGATACTGGGCTGAATTTATACGATTGCCGTCCTCTATCAGATACATCACTCTGACCTACTAAACAGACCAACAAGCGAACAGATCGCTGGGGCGGTAGTTTCGAAAATCGTACCAGATTCGGCATTGAGGTCATTCGTGCCGTACGACGCAACATTCCCAAGGACACTCCTGTCTTCTGGAAGATCTCGGCTGTTGATTGGTTACCTGCCGGAGAGGGGTGGGAACTTGAGGATACACTTCGATATGTTCCAATTCTCGCAGCAGAAGGTGTTGATCTTTTCGATGTATCCAGCGGTGGTACCGACAGAAGGCAAAAAGTACAGCTCGGCCAGCAATATCAAGTCCCTTTTGCTAAGGCTGTTAGGGATTTGAACATACCCAACGTCTTTGTTGGCGCTGTTGGCTGGATTCGAGATGGCGTTACGGTCCATGATGTATGGTTTCTTTTCGCTGCTTGTATTCTGAAGGCATGATGCTGATATTGGAAAACACAGATTCTGAGCAATGGAAAGGCAGACGTTGTGCATGTCGCGCGCGAATTCCTTCGCGACCCAAACTTTGTTCAGAAGGTTGCTCTATCTACTGGCACAGAAGTTGCTTGGGTGGATCAGTATCATCGAGCCCCTAGTAAGTGATTGATTTTTTCACCAATTATTTGCGGCTAGTTGGCTGATGCTGACATTTAATGTAGTGAATGGCAAGTATGTTGAGTCTACGACTACCATCATGACGGATCTCAAGGCTTCCAACGACGTTACTCGGACCCACGAGAATCAACTGAACAATAAAATCATCGAGTAGCTATCTCGGAATATTTTCAGGTTACACAGATTTGAATCACTAGATTGATAAATCGGTCAGATTCCAAAGACACTGGAGTTTGATATAGCTGTGAGCTTAAACATGACATAGGAGCCTCCATGAAAAGCTCTTCATTTATCGAATGTGTATTGTCATCTAAAACTGACAAGTCTGAGATATATTTTCACTCTATCATAAAAATAAGCTTCCCTACGACTAAAGCAATCGAAATCACTAGGTTTCAATTCTAGCAACTAAGAATTCATAATTAAGGGCCAACAATGGCTACCTTGATAACAATGAGTTCAACTCTTCTAAACCGGCCTCTGCCGAAGCCCAAACCTTCCCGCGTTTAGGTACTTTCAGAGCCGTCATCCGCTGAAAGCTAGTGAAGTCATCTGGTTCTCTGGAGTTACAGTTGAGAACAATACCCTTGTTAGAAAATCCAATCCCTCAGCCAGTACTTACATTAAACAACCCTTCCGAATGACCATCAACGGTATGCCCCATAAATGAAAGCTGCACATACTCGCCTGAGATAGGATGCGAGTCCGAGGAATCTGAAGCCGAAGGACGGCTAAACGACCTCCTTTTCTTTCCAATCCTCGCAGCTTCCTGGAATCTTTGGGCACTTTGGGCTTTGGGAGAATTTTAAACCTTTCTTGGTGCCCTGCGATTCAAAGGAGTCCTGCGCTTCAAAGGTGCCCTGCGCTTCAAAGGCCCCTTTGCTTTTCCAGCCGGCTTGGCTGGTGAAAGCTTCTTGACTGGCGCAGGATTCTTAGCCGGTGCAGATTTCTTGGTCCCCTTAGCCTGTGCCTTAGCCTTTGCCTTGGCAACTCTTTCTTGGTCCTTTTTCGATTTCGTGGCCAGCCTGGGCTTAGACTTTTGCACTAGGCGTTGTTTCTCTACTGGAGGTGCTTTCGAAGACTTAGATGGTGTGCGTGCATTGGCCGGTCTGGCTTTGTTGTTGCTTCTTTTGGCTCGTGCGGGCTGTGCGGGCTGTGGTTCTGGTGACGATGGTGGCGAATCATACCCAGTGAAAATGTCATGACCATCACACGAGGCATAGGCCTCATGTGTTTTGTGCCAGGTACATGGGAACCGAATCCCATCAACAGATTCGATAGGGCACTTTCAATTTAGTCAGTCGACAGTTAATGTTCCAAGCAGAGCACAACTGAGCCTACCTGGTTTTCCCGCCAGCATGGAATATTGCCACCGTCGTAGGCAAGGCCTTCGCAGTAACCATCAAGGGGCCAGTCAACCGGGTCCCACTCATAGTTTTGGCAGTAATGAGGCTGTTACATCGTTAGGGTCACTTTCATGAGGCGATTGCGCGACTACTGGAGATTCAACACTCACCCCAGCGTGTCGCTTCGCGAGGGGGTTCGCTATCATGCTTCTCCCTGTACGGGATGCGGTTGCGGCCCGATGGAAGGCGTGCTTGCCATGCAGGGCATTGGGTTTGGAAGCATGTTCCTGGTGAGCTTGGACAATCTCTGAAAGGAGAATGGCGGTGGCTAAGATGGAGGTGGCGAATTTCATTTTGAAATCCTTGATGTAGACAATATGTAAAGACTGAAGCCAAAAAAGCTGGTAGAGCAATAATTTCTGAAGTAGTCCAAGTGACTTGAAGAAAACAATATTGATATGGTTGTGTGGATGGTGAGCAAGACTGGACAAACTACATCCTCTCGTCGACATAGTCATGTTTATATAGATCAACAACGCAACATAGAAAGCATTTACAAGCCCACAATCCAGACGGACCCCAAGTATGATCCATTGCTGTGAAATCTATTTAGAAACCAAAGATATGCTCAGCCTTAGGCTGGTGGGATTTATTCAGGAACGCGGCTAGCGCATGCAGCGCTTACCAACAAGCCAAAATCCTAGTCCTACGGTAGCATCCGGGAAAGAAGACAAAGGATCCAGACCTATGTATGGACCAACTTGGGCCAACACATTCAGAAAATGGTGTCCCTCGTATGATCAACTTTCTAACCCCCTGCCCGTCGGTGGAGCCTACTGCAACGTCCCTCAGATGGTTTCCTATTGCGTGAGCCAATGCAACTTGTTGGCTTTAAAGCTGCATGTCTGCATGTATGATCCCCCACTCATGTGGCTTTGAATGAAGTGACCCAGAGCAGCCTAGATGGGTCTCACTGTTGGTACAACTTGCAGATGCTGTAGTAGTCGTTATGGTTGTAGATCAAAATAGATCCTCAACTGCTGGGAATTCCACATTTCAGCCGATGTGACAGTGAGTTGGTACACCTTGCTCTCCTATTATGCGTAGGATCAGCTAAAAAACTTGTTTGTTATGCTTGTTATTCAGTTTGTTCTAAGTTTATCCGTCAATACTTCTGAAGAATGAACGAGCCGAGCGAGCCGGTGAAGAAACTCAGCGACGATGAGGGCCTTACTGGACGTTCCTGATCCTTCGGCGCGGAGATGATCTGGCAATACAACCAACTCCGTTTAATGCATGAATCGACCTATTTATTCGTAATTATCTGAATACTTGATCTTTCTGAGGCCGAGGGGACCTGCATTAGCGGGTGCTCTTCGTCATTCTTGGCCAAGATTACGAGAGATTCCTTGGCTTTGGCATTCAACTCCTCCAAAGTTTTGCTATCTTTCAACACATCCGATACGAGAATTCCACTTGAAAAAACAGCCAACTCGCTCGACTTCCAAACGGGAGCTTTGCCGCCTGGAGGGTGGTTGAACCTCGTGAGGAAAAAGAATACAATAGCCGCGGCTTGGATGACAGCGTGCAGGCTAACCCACGGCCACCTGATCTGGTACAACGTGACGGGCCTGAACACCTTCCCTCTCACATATGAATCGTCGACCGTTCTTTCTGTGCCTGTCGCATCTCCAGCACGAAGTGCGTTACTCATACTCATGGCGACGTTCTCAAACAAGGTAGTAAGATTATCTGAGCGCCATAGTAGCTCTGCTGCCTCGGGAGCATGTGCGGTAGGATCTAAGAAGCCGGTGGGGGGCGGTCGGTCTTCCACTACATTGGAGCAGTTTTTATCAGGCCTGCAGGAAGAAAAGGTGGTCTTGGCTAAGTAACTGATTCCGTCCACTGCCGTTTGGGACAAGCTAAATCGCTCTGTGTTCGAGACATTGCTTGCTAATTCGAGACTTGTGCGCTCATGCAAGGACATGATGGGGTGGTATGCTAGACTTGTACGAAAGTTCTCTGGCAGCGGCGAACTCTGGCTAGATGAATCACCCGTCGTTGTCGGTTGCCACGATGATTTATTGGGTCTGTACTCATCCATAATCTTGGATGACTCTGTTAAAGTGCCGTTGCGTACCTGGAACGAGTAGTTCTTGACGCAATAGTAGAGTGCACATTCCGTCGCATGAACATCCCACTGTGGCCATATGAGGTCAGTCGTTGCAGATTTGTTGTCGACTTTGATGATGCTCTGGGACCAGATCAAGGTGTCCATGTCTTTGGTAGTGATCGTCTTGGACGCATTCGACGTTCCCAAGGTAGTCATGGTCGTCAGCATGCTATTTGGAAGGTCATCCTGGGCTTGCATATACAGGCCATTAGGCAGTTCGAATCTCGTGGCATTCCAGGAGCCTGGTTTAGGTGCCACCGCGATAAAATCACCCACCCATCCTATATAGCTGGTACTTCGTACCTCTGTCGTCCTTTTGAGTGAAGAATCCACGTTGGCGCATTTGCTGCAAATTGCTGCTGATGTGACATCCGAGTACTCGCATTCGCTTGTCGGGCAGCTGTAGCTTGCCTGTTGCAAGATCTGTGACCTGTCGCTGGTCAAGCCGAATAGCAGCGCTGCTTTCATCACAAGGTCTGGTGACGAGATAATTCCCAAGAGTTTCGGTACAGATTTCTCCATCGAGTAATTACCGAATCTGACTCCTTGGTCGTATCGGACTGCTCTGGGGAATGAGCCACCTGCTTCTGAACGCATGGCTTGGTGAAGTTGAATTAGTTGCTGTGCAAAAGGATCCATGATGATGGCGAACACGGTGATGATTGCACCCATGCGTACAATCGCGCTATGTAACCCTTTAGTGTCCATCTCAGTATGAAGAGTTTCGGAATCGTCTTACCCTCCTCTGAACTTGGAACTCAATAGCAGTTGAAGACTCCCAAGGGGCCCGCGACTTGCATCGGCTACCATCTCAAAGTCGTAGAGTCGTCGAGGTGGGCCTGCGAAGAGAGACCAATTGGCTTGACTGATACAGCTCGCTACTGCTGTCAGCATTGAGGCCTTGGACCCGGTCGATAAAATGGATATGATCGTGTTGAGTGTGATGAATGGGCCGTCGAACACTGGCTTTCCGTTGAAAAAGATGCAGACGATGATCATGGCAGCGAATTGAACGAAGCAGGCAATCATAGAGCCAGACTCCAGTGCCCAAGGGTGTTGAAGCCATGTCATAGTCATGTTCACTAAGACACCAATCTAGCATAAGTAGGACTCGTCGCTCATGTAACTGGCCGATTGATGAGGGAACTGATGTCTTGAGGCTGAAATGGATGTCGGAAGGAGACGGCCAGTGGCGCTATTCTGAAGGATTCGACACAAAACAGCTATGCCCTCATAACAAAATCGAGCCTTACTCCAGACAATCGAAGCAAGCAGAGCGTAGGGCAGTGCTGAGAGCCAAAGTTCCTAACTGAAACAAGCAGTGTTTCTGAAGCAAGGTATGCTTCTGGGTGGGAGGATCAAAGCAGGACTCAAGGGACTAGATACTGCGAAATGGTTTTTTTTTACGTCTTACCTTATTGACACAATGCCATCATCAGTTGTTTTCTTATTATTTCCCGTTAAGTTCAACCAGCCCATGCGTGAGTCGCTTGACGTGGGGCGGAGATCATCAGCGAGAATTTGGACCGCAGGTACATAGGCTGGGGCTTTTAGATGTGAAGACAATTGATATCTTCAGATTTCGGGTATCAGTTTTGAAAATTCAATCGTTATTTCTTTCTGAAACAAACGCTACTCATATGCTTGTACGCAATGTATGAATCAATGGCCGAATCAGACAAGACGTGGTTCCTTTAGACTTGTTCCGCCCATGAGGCTAAGCAAAAGAAAGCCACAGAAGTCCCAGTATTAGTGGCTGTTTCTGTCCACTGCAAGATTTGAGCGCACTGTTTCCACTTCCGACCAGCCCCTCAAATCGCTTCTACTGACCTTCCCATCCCAGCCAATTGCTTATAGCCCTCTGCATTGGAATTAACCCCTCAAACTGATAGAGCACGCAGGAAGGATCAGAATGCCTCCAACCGTCCCTTCGCTCTCCCTGGCGGAGAACCTGGATCTGGTGTTCCGTCTGCTGGTTGTTGGTGAGAACTCAACGCGCGGCCTGTGAAGTCAGCTGACATGGCTAACTCTCAGCAAAGCACCTGTGTACGGGCTCGCCAAATTTACCGTCGGCATTCCTAAAGCCCTTCGCAGAGGGATCCCACTGTCTCTGCTAGGAATTAGTACCGTCTGCCTGACCTTCCTCGCTTGTCTTTCCCCGAGACAGATCCAAACCGTGGCTCCCAATAGCCAGAGGGCATACGCGGCATGGATCAAGTCCAAGGTGAAGGCGCAGCGCAAGCCTGGCGCCTCTCCTCAGCTTCGCCGCCTCAAGCAAGACGTTGAAGAGCTCGAGGGAACCGGAGGCTCCATCATGTGGGTTGGTGATCGCGCCACCGCCTCCAAGTTCGTCCTCTTCTTCCACGGCGGCGGATATGTCATGTGCGCCTCGGACGGCCATCTTGAGTGGTGCTGGAGCGCCTATGTGCGTGGCGGGCCAGGCGAGAAGCACAACGTCGCTGTTGGAGTGATGGAGTACAGCTTGGTTCCTATTGCGACATATCCCCAGCAGCTACGTCAATGCTGTGCTGCTCTTAGGACGCTTTTGGAGAGAGGGATCCGACCATCCGATATCATGATTGGGGGCGACTCCGCTGGAGGGTCTCTCACTGTTCAGTTGCTAAGGCATATCGTTGATCCTCATCCTTGCGTCGAGCCATTTGGCAACTGGCCGAATGATGAACCCTTAGCAGCCGCCTTTATCGTGTCCGCACCATTTTCCGGACGGACAGATACAGTTTCATACCGAGAAAACACTCTCGACATGCTTTCCGGACCTGTTATCGATATTCTGACTGCGAACTTCTTGATTCCCGAGAATGTCAAGCCTCCGCTGACAATGGCTGAGATCCGAGGCTTAGCTTTTCCTCTAGAATCTGATTTATCGTGGCTCCGGAGCCTTCACAAGGCTGTTGGGGCGATTTATCTCACAGCAGGAGAAGAAGAGGTTTTTAGGGACCATATTTGTGAATTTGTGGAGGCTTTGCAGGCGCGTTCCAAGTCTGTGGATGTGAAATTCAACCTTTTCTCGAAACATATCCACGATAGCCACCTCATAGAGGGATTCTTTGGGGCCGGCCAAGCTACGACGGCCATGGCAGCTTGGGCGGAGGACATTTTCTAGATTTCTCCTATCAATGATAACTCTTACATTGACTCCCACTCTAAGATCTAACTGTTCTTAGTATGAAATTATATTTCAATGATGACAAGTTCAGGCCCCAACGGCCCGGAATAATTAGAAACGCATAAGGTAGGAAGAGCTTTTCAATTGCTTTATCATCGAAGCTTGCTTTTCTTACATAAACAACAATACGAAGTAATATTGCACAGGTAGGGTGAATAATTAGCTTGCATGTTGCTAACCCAGCATATGTATATCCGTGGTAGCTAAGAATCGGAAAAGTGAAGGCGGAAAAGCATTGAGGTACTCCACATAAACCAGGTAAATACACACATGCATGATAGACGCATTTTCCCACCAGTTATGGTAGGTTTCATCGCAACGAGAGAATTGGGGAGAAGGCGATCCTACCTTATCAAGGATAAGGTTGCATGAGACTGGTCCCCGGCTCCTGCTTAGACGACCTTAATTGCTCTCCCACTTCCCCGCAACTTCTGGGTCGGCGGTTTTCCGAGAGGAGTGGCAATGTCGGGATGATCATGAAAACAGTTAGCTGAGTAACCATAGGCTAAATGAAGTTACCGAATGTGGGGGTTCCATCCAGATGTACTCAGTATCGGGTTGTAGACGCGGACAAGAATCGCATATAAGACCCATTAGTTGTTGCTCGTTATGTCCATGGAGTTCGATCAGTGACATCAACAATTATAGCCATACATTACTTTCACTGCAACTCTCCCCTGGCAACAGGTCTCCAGTTACCATGAAGCAACTACTCTTTGGCGCTCTGTGGCTTTCAACGGCAGCGTATGCTTCAAATCTCACATTACCAAATGGCTGGTTCAGCATAGCACCGGATGAGACAATTGTCCTGGGCGAATTTCAGGGCGAACCACGATACCTGACCTGGATGGCTGACTCTCAGATCAAGCATGGTGTGGAGCCAACTCTTGCCTATACTGTTTCCGCATTCTACTCAGGCGTTCTTCGAGCGTACGAAAGGACTGGGGCTCAAAAATATTTAGATTATGTCAAGAAGGGGGCCGACATTCTCCTCTATCCTGAATGGGATGGCACAATTCTGTTCTATAACAACAGCAACTCCATTGACGATATCCGGATCGGGCACACCTTTCTCGACATGTATAATGTTACAGGCGACGAGATCTACAAGACTGCGGCCCAGACCTTGCGCAAGCAGATTGACCGAACTGGACGAACCCCTGATGGAGGTTTCTATCATCGCTATCCTACATATATCGACCAGATGTGGCTGGACGGTATCTACATGCTAGATGTTTTCTACGCCCGATGGACGTCTGAGTTTGAACCCACCAACAACACGGCTTGGGATGACATTGCCCTCCAATTCCACCTCATCGACTCTGGAACACGGTCTACAAACCGCACAAAAGGTCTCCCTCTCCATGGATTTGATGTCAGCAAGACTCAAGTCTGGGCGGATCCCATCACCGGTGCGTCCCCGCATGTTTGGGGGAGAGCTGTTGGATGGTACATCTGCGCCCTTGTGGATACTCTAGACTACTTCCCCGAAACACACCCAGGACGCGAGCAGTTACTCGGATACCTGCGAACCTTAGCGGACGCCATTGTTGCCGCCCAGGATAAGAGGACGAAGGGCTGGTGGCTTGTCATGGACCCTGGGCTAGAAGGCATTTCCGGAAACTACATCGAGAGTTCTGCGAGCTCCATGTTTGTGTACGGTCTGTTCAAGGCGCTTCGATTGGGTTACATCAAGGGAGATAAGTTTAAGAAGGCGGCCTTCGATGGCTACAAGCTCATGACGAACACTTTTTCAACATCCCGAGAGTATGATGGGGCCTTGCAATATGAATGGACAGTGCAGACCGGAAGTCTGAGCTCTAACGGCACGTTTGAGGTGAGTTCCAGTTTGGCCATTTCTACATTGTTTTTGTTTTCACAGATCAGCTAACAAACTTGCCTCAGTACTACGCGAGCCAACCTCTGTTTGAAAATGACCTCAAGGGCGTGGCCCCTTTCCTATTTGCCAGCTACGAGTACGAGCTTCTTCGCAGCCATTGAAACTATCACAGAATGTTTCATTATTGAAAGCAGCACCTGGGAATGGGTAGTCGAATAGTGTTTAACAGGATATTGCGAAATCAATAGCTTTGATCACTCAAGATCCCAGTATAGTAGAATCAACCTATTCCTCCAATGCTTTATGTTCTTTGTCGGTCTAGGTCAATGTAGTGGATTTCCTCAAAGACATCTCCAGTTTTGAAGACATAGGGGTATAAAAACCGATATACTAAATATATATTTCATTTACAGTGCTGATGACACTTTGCCCTAAAGGGGTTCCGCATATCTAATACTTAGGATCTAAGATGAAAAACAAAGAAAAAGCAGAGGCTAGAAGAGAATCCTAGACATCGGACGTCTAGCAGCAAGACGTGCTAAGGATCTCCACAACCTTGGCAGAAGGAATATGGGCCTTTACGGGCACCGACTCAGGAGTAAGCTTTGCGTCCTTCATAATCCTCCTCTCGGCCATCGTGACCGCAATGTCGAATGCGTTCTGTGTGCTTGCCACGCCGGCAAGGTTCTTCCCAACAATATCAAAAGCTGTACCATGGGCAGGCGTGGCAACGGGGATAGGAAGTCCGCCTTGTACGGTCACACCGCCATCGAAGGACAGAAGCTTCATGGCAATCTGGCCCTGGTCGTGGTACATGGTGACGATACCATCAAAATGCTCTCGCTTGAGGAAGATGGTGTCGCAAGGGTAGGGGCCAAGGACGTCGATGCCCTTCTCCTGGGCCGCTTGTACAGCAGGGCGAATGTGGTCAATTTCTTGACGTCCGAACGCGCCGTTCTCTCCGTTGTGTGGGTTCAAGGCACACACTCCGAGGCGGGGATTCTCAATACCAGACTCCCATCTAAACAAAATATTAGTACACCGTTATGC